GGCTGGGTACACTAAACTTATTTCCTCATTTGAGATACTGCTACGACTGCCCATGAGTATCCACGCACTCATTTCTACTATTCAATAAATAACCCGGACTATAACAAGGAATTTTCAAATGATTTCGTGTTTTATGTATAATTTTTTTTTTTTTTTTTTTTTTTTTTTTGGTAAATATATTTACAATGAGTTTTAGGAAAGTTAATGAGAAGAGTCAAGCGACAAAGAAAATGCTTTGGATCGCCACAGTGGTGAAAATAATAAAGAATGCATGCATATCCAGGACTTGACAACTGCATGCGATATGCCAAGTACAATGGTATCTACAAACTGTGACAAACAAAGATGCTATTTAATTGGCTAATGTAGCAAAAAAGGAGGTGAAATCGATAACCAAAGATTGGAGACGTTACAGCATGTTGAAAAACTGCTTTTGATCTGGATAGCAGGAAAACATTTATGCACATTATCATGTACAGAACTTCTTTTATGTACAGTATATATTTCACCCACTGCATTTGTACTTGTGTATTAAACCGTGTTATAACAACAGGATCCTTTTTCTAAGAATGCATTGATCATTTCTGCTTTATTTCTCACTGGAAAAGTTTGTTTGGAATATGTCTAAGGATGTGGAATGGATTAATGACATCTACCAATGTACCACTGTATTTGAAAACCTCTGAATATACAGATAAGGAATTTTTATTTATAAACTTTTTCCAATTGTGGAGATTGATTTTTTTAACATTTATTTTAAAATAAGAAGTTTGGGTTGATCTGATCTTTACAATATGGTAACTGGTACTTTGGCGACATTTTGGAGGCGATAAAGGTTACTACCTGGGACTTTGGTAATAATGTGAGCAGTACTCAGTTCCGATTACGCATTATTTTGTGTGAGGGAAATGAGAGATCATGGGATATGTCATGTGATATTAATGGACGAATTACGGTTCTTGAATCGGAAAAGGGGGGAAATCGGGGAAAAAATCTGGAAATTTTGTATTTGGTTTATTTCGTGTTGTGTGAATTGTGTTCGTGAATTTTTGGATCCCATGGCCGTAACTAAAGAAAAGTTATCGGACACGTAATCAAGATTCTGAAGAAGATTAGGTAAGTTAGTATTTTTAATTATTTGAGGATGTTATTTTTATGCATTGTTCTAAATGTAAGGTGGAAAGGAATTTTGTATTATTGGGAAAATTGTTATTAGCAATGATTTAGTTTTAAAGTAATTAGGATTGTAGGTTATTTGTATTAATTTAATGTATGTGCTCATTTATATTTTAAGTAGTGTTTTGAATTTAATTTAATTATATTTTAATGAAATGATAGTTATTTTGTGAATTTTATGTTTGTAGGAATTTGGTATACGTTTAAGTTGAAATAAACGTGCATGGAAATAATTTAAATATTTGATATTAAGTATTTGTAATGCTTGCGGTATGAATTCGTTGGTGACGTGTATAATGTAATAGATGATTTAGAGGTAAAAGTTTTTGGATATTTTATTTATTTTATATGTGGAAATGTTCATATTTGTAAAGGGTAAATACTTTTTCGCAATCAGGTAATTTCATATATGTGCTTTTTACCGGGTTTAAAGATTGAGAAAATTGTTACGTATTTTCGTGAAATTTTTCTAATTTATGAGAAAAAAGCAGTGTACATGGATATAGTGAAGAGTGTGCGCAATGCCATTTTTGTGCAATTCTGGGATGTTTTTTTAAGTAAAAATAAGTCGCCGTGTACATGGTTTATGTGTATGTGTTATTTTGAAAAACGCGTAAGGAGTATTGGTATTGTGCACTTTTTCCCAATTTTGCAGTGAATATTTGTCATGATTAAGCAGTTTTGTTAGATAAAATTTCTAGCATAAGTGTAATTCGGCTAGTAGATTGTTGGAAGAAGTGTTCAGTACATAAAAAGAAAAGAAACATGTCTTTACTTCGTGAAGACAAAATGGCGGCGGGAAAAAAAAATAGAGGGTTGCTGTAGGAGAGTTGGTCACCAAAAAAACGCCAAGTTACCATAATGTAAAGATCAACCGAAGTTTGTTTATCATTTTATTCTAACATAATTTAATTTCGTAACACTTGAATAAAATGACAATGCTGTTATACAATGACAATGGAGTTAAAAAATACAAAGGAGTGGAACACTACGAAAAAGAAGTCAGTAATTATATAAATCTTTTTAATATAATGCCACATACATACATTTCTTCATAACCAATTCAAGTACACATGCTTGTTCACTAACTTCATAAATGTCTACAAAAATTTCTCTAAATATTAGCAATTTCAAACAAATTTATAATCCAATTGTATGCACTTGATTTTTCTTATCATGCATTAGACCTTAATTTCAAAAATTGTTTAAGAAGGTAGATTTTTTTTAAATGGCATTATGCAAACAATATTTTTGCCATTATCTGAAGCTTAGAAATATGGCCATATTTAGGAGGGTGCTGATGGTGATGTAGCTACCTTCCACCAAAACTGCCGTTCCAGTTGATAAATAAAAATTAAGTTAAAAAACACTGGTTTTAAATGAAAGTCACAGCCCCTTTCCACCTGAAATTAAATCCAAGCTACAGCATTGCATAGGAACTTAATGATTTATAACAACCACATTCTAAATGTTAACTATTTAAATCTGAATGAAAAGAAATTTGGTTAAATGTTAGAATCATGATTTATTTATCAGACTACAACATGATTATTTCAAATAAGGTATCTCATACTTGAGACCATTTCACTAAATTTAAACATCATAAGCAACAAACTTGTGTTATAAATAAAACTGAAAATAAAGAAATAATTTTATTTTAAAATTATGAATGTTATTTAGGTACTCTTCTGTTATCGGATGCGGATTCACAAATGTATGTGTGGATGCATACGTGGATGTACGTATGTGCATATCTATATATATATATATATGCGGGTGTATATGCGAACACATATATATGTGTGAACAATATATGCATGGCATGCAGACATGAGCACATACATCTATACATACATGCATACATTTCTGAATTTAGTCCTAATAACAGACGTGTACCGCTACTTATTATCAGTTTACACAATTTTTCTAAACAGCATACTGATATTCCATAAAAGTGCTTTTTTAACATATTTGGCAAATAAATTGTGTCTATCTTTTTTACTAACGCACAATGTACATTTTTCATAGGGTTTTCTTATATTTATTTATTTATTTACTTATATATATATACATATATATTTTAAAATTTGATAATAAGTGGTTTCTTATTATTGAAATCCAATTTGTTTTCACTTTTTGGATGCTTTATTTAGTTTTGTTTTTCACTGCATTCTTTTACAGAGGGTGTTCACACATCTTTGTAACGAATTTTCCTTTTTTTATGTTATTTCATTGTTTGATTTAAAATGTAGTTTATTCAGATTATATATATTTTTTGTTGGCTGCTCCTTTGACTTTTTAAGTGAATATAGTTTGATGTGTACATGGACAAAGTCAAGGGAGTGCGCAAAGCCTAGTTTGTGTGAAATTCTCTGATTTTTTTAAGTGAAAATATGTCGATGTGTACATGGATATTGAGTTTGTGCAAGTCTTTCTCTTGTTATTTTGGCAATTTTTGCCCAAAAAATCGCCGCTACGCAAGCCAAAATAACAAGTCAAAGAATTGCACAAACTCGTTATCCATGTACTGCCAAAAATCGCCAAGTTTCGCCAAAGAGTACCCTAAAATATACTTTTACCACTCTGTTCCCAAAATTGACAAATTTAACACTTTAACTTGCATTACATAAATTTCCTAGGTCACCAAAGACTTCAGTGAACTTTACAAGGAAGTTCCTTGGGCAGTTCTATATTTCATCTTATAAACATAAGAACATGAACCATGTACTTTAATTACTATATTAAATGTTACTTGCAAAGGCTATTTAATTATTAAAAAATATACAGCAGTCTGACATTAAGAAATCAGTAATATAAAAGTGAATTAAGAAGCAAGATCCCAGCAAATGTTAACCCCCCCCCCAAAAAAAATGTATAATGTGCACAAACAGAAGATGGCAACTTATTTTCATTATGAATATTGATGGATATGTTGCTTCAAGTATAAAGTTTGATGCATAGCTGGTAAATGTGGGAGTTTTTACATAGAATTCTAAGAAATTATTCTAAGCATATTATGATTGGCTTTTGTTTATGATAATTTTTTTTCTTTTTTACTCAGATTCTAAAAGGTCAAAACGAAATTTAAGAAAATTATACAAAAATTATGCTAATTTATGCAGTATCTCATTCTAAAAGAAATCTGATACAATTTAGGATTTATGACAAATAAATTTCAAAACAATATTCATGAATGAATTTTGAAATTGCTGCTTCAACTTTGTCAATTAAAAAATAATAATTATAATGATGATAAATTGTGAAAACAGACTAAAAATATTTTTAATAATACCAAAATTCACAATTTTTGGTTAAAATAAACGATTTATTACTACAACCACAATATTTTTGGGTGGTAATTCGCAATATTAACAATTCGTAATTCACAATATTAAGAGCTGTACTAAAAATACATAATCTATTGGATACAATACTTCCAAACCTGATTAACCATAAACTAATTATGCACATTAAACCAATTGTCTTTATTATTATAATTAATAATCAAATAAGAAATGGGAAGTAAGTTATGAGTACTAAATGCTATATCGGACTCCTAATAAATAATAGCTCACTATGATTTACCAAACTGAACTAACATTTTTCGACAAAATTCAAATCAAATGCTCCGAATTCTATTTCGGTGATTAAAATACATTTCCAATATATATTTGCACATATTTCAATTCTGAGTAACTTGAAGGGACAATACACGAAATGCAACAGCCATTAATTCTCTATGACTAGAAATGTGCGTTCGCTAAACGTCAATCTCAATGCAGGCAATAACAGCAAATTAAAATTTATATTTAATTTTGACCTACCTTGATTGTGATTTACATTTGTATCCACAATAAGAGTTCTCCCTCTAACACAGGCACAGAAAAAATTTGAACAATTCTTTTAACACAAAGTTTAAACTATAAACAAAATCAACTGTTAATCAAAACACTCTCCACCTAGAATAAACCACGCCAAGTGACAACAATTCAAAACTAAAGATGCTACGTTTTCGATACAAATTACAGCGCTACCTGTCAGCTTTGCACGGAAATATTAATTGAAAAGTATGGATTGAAGAGAGGAAAAAAAGAGTATACTTAGAAACTTTCTTACACATTTATTTAATCATTTTAGGTACTTTCTATTTAATATATTTAATCTTTCGAAAGTAGGCTAAGATGATATATTTGTGGATGGAAGAAGAGTTCAAACCTTGTGAATGCCTACGACCCCCCAGGAACTTGAGAGTAAAAAGTATTCCTTTTAACATAAGGCCGAGCAATTTTTCAAAACTTCAATTATTTCTTCGTGAAATATCAGAAGGGTAATAGCTAGTTACAAATTTACCAATTCTTGAATTAGAACTCAACCAATAATTCAAAATTTTAATTACATACAGAATCTGCCGCTTATTAAACTTTTTGATTAATAAACTCAACCGCCTATTACGTTTAAATTTCCAGGAACCAAAACATACTGTTACGGATTTTGTATTTAATTTGCTGTTTTTAGTAGCATTATAATTAAAATTGTTTCACTTCTCAGTGCAATGCAGCGCCTGACGAGTTTTAAGAGAAAACTAAAGCTACGCCGAAAATGTAAAAATACAGGAGCACACGCATTTAACATTTAATAAATAGATATCTTCTAATTGTACTCTTTTGCTTTCTAGAAACCTCGGGAAAATACCAGAATGTTCTCGTGCATGATTAAAAAGCTTATAAAAGCTGGAGCAAAACATCTCAGTTGAGTTGTTTTTTTAGCTGTTTATTTAGTTCTTGTTGTTGATTGTAGCGGATTCCCGGTGAGATAGGATTAGCTTTCTTTGCGTTTGAATTGTGCAGGCCCACGCCGACAATAGGTGCAATGTGTTGCGGCGCACGACGGCGCTCTGTCTAAAAGGCGCCGCCCAATCATTAAAACAAGCAAATCGTCTCGCTGCCTGTCTGAACAAGCATATTCTTGTCTTATTTGAACGCCCCTCCGGGAGTCCGCTCAGGTAAAAACCTGGGAAACTACTGATTAGAATCTGTACTTACGCAGTCTCGGCCACGGTTGTTTAAATTCTGTCTTCACAGGATAGAAGTCATCGCTGGCGATGGCTGTTTCAAGCTCGGCAGGGATCGTGTGGTGCTGTCTTGCCTGTTCCCCTCCGGGGATTGACTCAGCCGAACGCCTCGGAAATGGTGGTTAGGATCTGTAACTAGACAGTCTCAACCACGGGGGTATATAATTTGGCTTCACAGGACTAGAACCCGAGTATTGCACTCAGGTTGGTTCAGACTTGGCAGGGACCGTACTGGTACTGTCGTGTCTGTTCCTTCGGTAGTGGTGGAGCGAGATCGGACATAGTGTGACTGAGTCCCCGGGGATTTGACCCCATTCAGTTCTCGTGGCGGGGACTGACAGAGTGGACAGAGCACCCACAACAATGTAGTTTTGCCGATGGAGTGGTGCCCGGAGCGAAGGTGACAGAGTTTCCAAATAGCAACGTTTTTGCTCTGCTCAATGCTATGTAAAAGCCGGGCGGGGTTGCGCCCGCGAGGATGAGATCCCACGGACGATGGATATCTCAACTCTGTATGGGTCCTCTAGAATATGGACCTGGGTCGGAGGTCTTTGGTCTGGTGTGTCTGTCTTGTCCGTTGGTTGTGGTGGAACTATATAGTTATTCATGGTTTCCGGAGACGTATTTTTACTTCCTCCCTAGGAAACGCAACCCGCGACTAAATTTGACAATTTATCAGGTCTTGGCGAAATTGTGACACCAAGCGCATGCGCAAAAGGAAATAACGCTGTCGGTTGATGCTTCAAATTTGTGATGGCTGCGAATATGTTAAACGAAATGGAAACTGAATTTTATAAATTTTTATGTGATGGATATTCCTACGAAGTAGTATCTTCCAAGTTCGGAAGAAAAGAGGATTTCGACTTTGAGATCAGATGTGATCTTAATAGTGAAGATATATGGCAGAATTGGAAAATACATTTTGAAGCGGTTTCCCATGTGCATTGGATTAAAACAATGAAAATCGGAAAGAGTAAAATTTATTTTTAAGAAAGATTATGTGTGTCACCATGCATGACTAAATAAGAAAGAGCTAGTTCCAGAAATAAAGAATGTTTAGTTGCGTTGCATGTCAGAATTAAAAAAATAATAATAATAAGTATACAAGATGTGATGAGTATGTAAAAAAGAATCTGTGCACTTTGATTAAAGTTTCATTCATACACATAGATGTGATGTTGCTGAAGCGTGGAATTGCTTACGCCCAATTGATTCGGTGAAAGTGTTCACCAACTATTTTCGTGCCGGTAAAATAACAATTAATAACATAATATTTTTATTGTGCTATACATCCACAGAGTTCACTGTTAGTAAATACCGTCAAAATGGTGACGATAAAGGTAGTATCATAAACATGTATCTCAACATAGAATTGTTCTACCTAATAAGCAATATGTTTTATTACTTTTCGTTATATTCCAGTACCTCATATTTCGTACAATGAATTTTACTTAAAATATCAGCATTATTTTAATTGCCTTAGCTAAGAAGCTTTGAAGGCATTTTTCGCAATAGCTGAAAGCACATTAGATTGCAGTTGTTAAGCATATTAATTCATCCATTACATTATGGAATAATGAATAAATTTATAGTTTCTATATGTATATTGAAATGACAGCTTCAGAATATAAAATTATTCAGACACGAATTATTCAGACACGATAGAAGGAAAAATCACTTAACTAATTGATTATTTAATAATAAATTAATTGAATGTTGAAGCAATTAATATCACATAGTAACTTTTGATTTAGTTAAATTCTAAATATAATCACAGACTCCTCCGATAGTAACATAAAAAAGTCTTCGAAATCATTGATCAAGAGTGCACTTGGTTATGTCTGTCATTAGTTTAAACCTTGGACACATTATAGGTGACGATATGAATTTGCCAAGCTCTATCTCATTTTGAAACAATGGCCAGGAGATAGATCCAAAGATCATCTACCCCTCTTCCGTTCCCATTAACTCTTGAGGACTTATTGTTCCATGCTATATACCAGGGCTTAATTTCTAAAATTAGAAGTGCTGGAGCTCTATGGAAGACTGTGAGGAAGAAAAGAAAAAAAAAAAAATTAAAATAGCTAATAATTAAATAATAAATTAAAATTAATATTAATTAATTTGATTAAATTAACTAATTTAATTATAAATTAAGAAAAATGTAAAGATAAAGAGAATAAATTATTAAATTAGTTTTTAATAGTTAAATAGAAAAAAAAAGAAGTATTGGTCCTTGTCTTATATGAGGCATCGTCCGGAATTACAATTCCACTTAGATGCTAAGCAGCACTCAGCCAATTTCCGTCCGAGTTCAAGCCCTGATTATACATAAAATGTACTATTCCAAGGGATGACAAGTATCAGTCTTTTTTTGCAGCACACCAAAGAAAAAAGATAAAACGATAAAAGCTCCACTAAAGAGAATAGTGAGAATTCTAGAAACAGTATGAGGGTATGGAAAAAAATTGAACTGAAAAGTGTAGCTTCGAAGATAAAGAGGGAAGAGTTCAAGACTACCTGATCACGATGCCCTGTCGATATAATTCTAGCCGTCAAGCAGAAATTCTCCCGATTACTTTTCCTGAATACAACCTGAGAATAAATATAAGACTTCTGGGTACAAGTGGCAGCAGTGGTTCCCCCGTTTGGTTACATCATTCAGAAAGTCTACAGCTTTGCAGAAGGAAGTCACTAGCATGGAACGTGCACGACCAGGGTGTCACTTTTAGTTCTTTGAGGAATACAAAATTTACCCGCTTTTATAAATTCATTGCATATCCTGGAGAATAAGCCTTTGACATATAATTGGGGGCTTTTCTTTCCTCAAAAGTCTCAACTTCTGTGCAAGGCTTGAGTGCGATAGAAAGACAGGCTTGCATTCAGAAGTTAGAATTGGATTTTTAAGACATATTTACTATTAAAGAAAAATTTCTGTGTTAAAATTTTGGTCCACTTGCTTAAAAAAAGTGATTGAGCCCTTATTTAGGGCTCTGGCTGAAATTATAATTTATCTTGAAAACTGAGAAGTACCGGAGCAATTTAAGCTCTGCTATATACACAAATGCCACAAAGTGAAGAGAAATTTAAATGCCACCAACCTGCACCCCTTTAATTCTCATTCTAAACTTTTCAAAATAAATACAGATTTCTCGGTTGAATACAGGGCGTCAAAACAAAAATATATGTGGTACCCTTCTTTTTTTTTTTTTTTTTTTTTTTTTCCATTCTTCAAAAATATCTTATGTGACCTCAATAATTTGAAAAAAAAAATTAAATTATATCTGAACAATGACAAGTTCTGTATTTTTAGTAGAAAGCCCAGTCAGTCCCTAAATATTAAAAATAAATATTTAGATTAATAAATATTTTTAATATTTGGAAATTTATTATTCCCGAATTACATGACTATAATAACTAAATCCTTTATGCTTTTTACAAAGATCAACACAACTTTGCTTTTTACAAAGAGATAATTTAAGACCTTAGGTCTTAAATTTACTCTCAGAAAGAACTAAGGGTTATAAAAGAAAGCATGGATTTTCATTTTTATAGAATGAAAAAGTTAAATTATTATTTAATATTTTTATTTAATGTGATGACTGCAAAAATGTGCGCCTTAATTTTAAGAAAGTATACTGATCTAACACAATTTCTTAAAAATGCTTTGATCATGTATGAAAACAAATTTTTGTTTATTGAATATATCAATTTTAATATTTTATGCTAACCATAACACGATATAACCTGAATTGCCAGTGCTGTGAGCAAACAGGCATAGAAATCATAGGAATAGTACACACTCAAGCAATGTTTAAGATACTACTAAATGATCCTCTTTCTTCTTTCTGAATAAAAAAACTGCATCTCTTACTATCAGATCTTTG